CCTCAACACGTCGGCAGTCAATCACACACCCACCTTTAAGCAAGTCAATGTGGATGGTGTGGCCTCCTATAGGGCCGCAAATTGTGGAGTCTTGAAGTCGAATTACCCTCGGCTTGTGGTAAAGAGGACAAGCTGGAATCGCTCATGTTTAAACGTACAAATGTTTAAAAAGGCAGACGTTCCACCTTGGCTCGCCACATCTCTTGCCTTCACCCAACTGCACAATCAGTAGTCGAAAGCAGAAGGCGGTTTGCTTCAATGCGGAGACAAATGGGCCACACTTTAACAAGTTCTCAGTCGTCTCAACCTCCTTACCTGTTTTGCTGCGAAGAAGGTCACTTTACCAATGACTTTATAACCGCTCATAAAAAATAGTAAATACTAAAATATATACACAGAAATGTCACAATCTTGGCGTCTCAACCCTCATCGTGTCTGTGATGCTTGCTCTTGTGGCGACGATGATGCTTATGATGGTGTGTACGCGAATAACGTCCCACCTTCTCGGAATCCTCCTTGTAACGCTTCTAAAAGGCAGGAAGAGAGCAAAAAATAAGGGGATTGTTTCATTGATGGAATGAATAAAATGCAAAAAAATTCCTAATCAACCAAGACTTTAGGGCACCCTTTTCTCTTTCACAGAAGCCTCACCACTGATGGGTCAATTAGTGAGGATACACACCAGAGTATGGGAGCATGGACTTGTTAGCTAAGAAGATAGTTATAAAAGAATCGGTGTATCACCGCTTCAGAAACCACGAACGTGGAGTGAGTTGAGTGAGGCGGGTGAAGTGAGGTGTGGCGGCGCAGACCGATCATACACCTCATGTCACTGCACTTCAACTGATGGAGAGTAGTCGAGAAGCTAAATTACCGCTCAAAGCCATCAAAATGATAGCAATTGAGATGACAAATTCACAAGGTGCTATTAGGCGCTTAGTTTGACACTGAGCAGACTCGATCATCTTGGGATAAGAAAATTAACTCACCTTGCGTTCGACAAAGTCGGCTGAGTCGGACACCAAATCTGACGAGTCATTGGGAATGGAGGCGGAAAGATTGGATTCTGCGGTGGGCTCTAAAGAAAGCGGATGAGAAGTTTGGATAGAACTCATGAAACATAAGCACAGATTGCAGACAAATGTAACAGGATTCAAGTCTGTTTATTCCACGAATTCGACTCCTATCAGTTCACATGTCTGTACTAGATGTGGTAAAACCCAGTAGTAAAACCCACTCGAAAAAGGCGCAAAAGCAGCAACCACTACCTGAAGTGCGGCTATAACGATTAAAAAGGGGAAGATCTATCATTCCTCATCA